AGACTGGCTTTGAACTCACAGAGATAGTCAGTCTCTGCCTCCCAAGTGTTAGAATTACAGACATAGGTCACCACATGGGGCTAGAAGTCTTCTTTTAATGGTAACATTTTCAGGTTGGTAAGAGATGCTTCAGAGCTGTAAAAGATACATAGTTACGACTGAGGCTAATTTTTTCCAGACAGTGGTAACACCATGTAGCCCAGGCTAGCCTCAAACTCAGAAGTGCTGCGATTCCAGGCATGCAGTACTGCACTGGCTGTAAGAGCTTTTGGTGCGTTGAGCATGCTATTTTTAGGACATGTACTGACCTTTGCTTTGGCCCAGGTACTCAGTAGTTACTGGTGCTTTATTGCTGCTGTTTTGGTGACACAGGGAATTGAACCCAGGATTTTGTATAAGTGCTCTACCATTGAGCTGTAACACCAGTCCATCACATTTTGAGGCAGGGACTTCTCCAACTGTCCCCATGTCCACTCTTCCACTCACAGGCATTTCTGTGCTCTGCTCTTATCATTGCTTTCTGTCACACTGAACACCTCCTGACGTGCCATATGACCTTTTACATTTTTGATGTTTGTCATATGTAGGAGGAAGTTCCCTAGGCCAGGGCTGGGACAGTGGAGGTGCTGCATTCTTCTGCATGTCTCATTTGGGGTTTGATGTACTTCTCAGTTGACAACTGATACCAAGCCAACTGCAGTCCACCCACACAAGAGGGCTCTTCTGGGCCAAGACACCAAAACAGCTACTGATGATATGTGCCACGGCATGAGTGGACCTCAAAACCAAAACACTGAGAAGGCCAAGAGACCAGGTGCAAAAGATGAGTCACTGTTGGAGTCCGCCTAACAGTGCTTTAATGTAGTTTAATTTGGTTTTATTTGTTAGTTTTTCTAGTAATTGACACAAACAGTCATGTGTACACTGTTGTGTTTGCTTCTTTCAGTATGCTTTTGTAGTCTAGGTCTGATGGTATATAGACCAGTTTTGCTGCTACCCAGGAGGATTCCATTCTACAATCATTTTCTCTCTCAGAGATGCGTACCTGGCTCTTCCCAGCTTTTGGCTATTCTGAGCAAAACTTCTAAGGATGTTTTCATTTAAGTTTTAGTTTCTTTTAGAGAAGTACCTAAAAGTGAAATTGCTTGGTCATCGGATAGATACTTGGTTTTGTTTGTTTGGTTTTAGTTTTTTTAAAAGTGGAGTGGAGCATGCCACCTCATTTTGAAGTTTCATATCCACTCAGATACTGAATATTCGTGGCATTTTTAAGATTAAGTGTATAAGCATTAAAGGTGTTTCTCTTACTTAGGGTGTCTATTACTGAGATGAAACACCATGACCAAAAAGCAAGTTGGGGAGGAAAGGGTTTATACGCCTTACCCTTCCACATTGCTGTGTCACTGAAGGGAGTCAGGACAGGAACTCAAACGGGGCAAGAACCTGGTGGCAGGAACTGAGGCAGAGGAAATGGAAGGGTACTATTTACTGGCTTGCTCCCCATGGCTTGCTGAGCCTGCTTTCTTATAGAACCCAGGACCACCAGCCCAGGGATGGCACCATCCACAATGGCCTGGACCCTCCCCCATCAATCACTAATTAAGAAAATGCCTTATAGCTGGATCTCAGGGAAACATTTCCTCAACTGAGGCTCCTTCCTCTCTGATGACTCTAGCTTGTGTCAAATTGACACAAAACCTGCCAGTACAGTGTGTAAAAAATACAAACACTGTAAGTTTGCAGAATTATGTTTGCTGTGTGATTAAGAGTTCGGGGATAGAGAGGTTTTGTTATTGGAACAAGCACAGGAGTGAGAGTAAGCAATGACCGTTGTGCGGGTGTAGGGTGAGATACTAGGTAGGCACAGAGCAGGCCAGTGGGAACAGCAGTGGACACTAGAAAAGGCAGAACACTGGCTTGAGGTCAGTTATAAAGAACTTGTATGTTATTATACAAATCTTAATTATCTTCTAAGTTACTGTCAAATAATGGAAGTTTGGGGATGGAGATAAACCTAATGTTTCTGTTTTTCAGTTCTTTAGAGTTCAGATTGAAGTAGAGAGATTACAGTGGAGTCTGTTTTGGGTTGTATTCTGCATATACGGCTTAAAGTGAGGAGAGACAGGGCATGTGTGTAAGGAGCCTCCGAGCAGGAACACGCAGCTGTACTCCTTGCTCTTCCTAGAGGAGATCCTGGTTTTAGGGTAAGCCACGTGGATGCTTTCCTCTGGCAGGGCCGGTCAGCCCTTCTGCCTTGGCAGCACAGGGATGGGTCCTGTGGTGGCTGTGCAGAGCAGGTGGCTCCTCCAGTTCCCCAGGGTTCCCTGCCAGAGCATGGAAGGGAGCAGCTATTCAGGTTCTGTAGTGACAACATTACCAAATAAAAAGCAAGCAGCCTTGTGAGTGTAAGGTTAATCTGCCCAGGAAATTAGGTCCTATTAACAATGTGAACAGATCTTCAAAATGTAAAAACGTGAACTTTTAACTAGACAGTTTAGCCAGATGCTACATGGTTTGATGTTTAGCCCACTAGAGATTGTTTTTTAAAGGATAGTCTTTTGATATAGCCCACACTTATCTCAAACTCCTGTGGTCAAGTGGTCCTCCTGCTTCAGCCTTCTGAGTGGTGACGGAGACAATCGACATACACCACTATGACCAGCTTAGCCTTCTAATTTTTTGTTTATAGCGTAGAATGATTGTCTCAAAACTTTTGACACTATTTACCATAAACATGTAATCATCGATTCCATAGACATAAAAAGCAGTCACTTATATATAGCATGTCTAAATATTAAAGGCCATTACATATATGTAATGTCTGTTATCGTACAGTAAAATAACCAACTTTTGGGGGATTTAAGGATTGTATAAAAAAATAAAAAATGAGTATGCTTTCTATGTTTTAAAATTATTTTAAACATTTTACTATATTACATCTTTTAACTACAGGTTTTTCTTTTCTTTTCCTTATTTTTAATTTATGTATTATTCAAAATGTAAAAAGGCAGAAGGAAGGCAAAGTGAATTGGCTAGTCGGGAGAGAAAATGAATTGAAAGACAGAGTAGGGATTCTGTGGAGAGTGGCCAAAAAGTCAGTGGCCCTTACTATTTCATACTTAGCTGTGAGAACAACAGTGGCTGGAGGCTTCGAGTGACCGTGTTTGCAGTGATTAAAAGACTAATTTGTAAGTGTTTTCTACCAGTGTTTAGACTTACACTCACTGGCTGGGAAGCTATGGTATGATTTGTTTTACATGTAATTCTAAAGAACATTGCTGTTTTATTAATAAAAAGTAGTTGTAGCCTTTCTGGTTTGCCTCATTGAAGAACACAAGACAATGTAGTAATAAAGATGTACTGTGTGCTAAACAAAGCAATTCCAGAACTGCGGTGCCAGTGAGACTCGGCTTCATCAGGAGGTGTTAGGAAATAAGGATTAATGAGAAGCTGGTAGGAGTAAAACTCAGTAATAACTCTGGTCTGTAGTATGAATCTTAAAAGTTCTTATTAATAAAATCAAACCTGAGCCAGGTATTGGGGTGAATGCTGGAAGATCAGAGAGACAGAATAGGCCACAGCTACCTCACCTCGCCGGATCCTCAGCTGATCCTGTTTGCTCAGACTGGATGCCTCTGAGTCTTCATCCAGAATGAATCTCAGCTGAACTGTGCTGCTCAAAACCTAAAAGCTTAACCAGCCAAATCCTGCTAGTTTCTGGTCCTCACGCCTTATATACCTTTTTGCTTTCTACCACCACTCCCTGGGATTAAAGGCTTGCTTTCTGGGATTAAAGGCATGAGTCACCATGCTTGGCTGTATCCTTGAACACATGGATTTCCGCCTCTGGAATGCTAGGATTAAAGGCGTGTGCTACCACTGCCTAGCCTCTATGTTTAATATTGTAGCTATTCTGTCTCTGACCCCAGATAAGTTTATTAGGGTGCACAATATTTTGGGGAACACAATACCACCACGCTGGTAGTTAGTGTTAGTAAAGCTTCCGACTCTACTGGCAGTCAGAATCAAATGATGTCAAAGTTGCAAACCAACCTATTGGTGTGCTATGCTCTATCACAGACCATGGGTGCATGGTTGTCCTGAAAAGCGGAAGGGGGCTGAGACAGAGTATCAGATTGTCTGCCGAACATCACATTGTACATAATATGTTGTAGATACTTAAGTATAATACATATTCATCTTTATTAACAGCTATTCCATATCTATTAGATATTAAGGATTTACTCAAATATGTACTTAAAACAATTACTTTTTTTTTTTTTTTTTTTTTGGTTTTTTTTGAGACAGGGTTTCTCTGTGTAGCTTTGCGCCTTTCCTGGAACTCACTTGGTAGTCCAGGCTGGCCTCGAACTCACAGAGATCCACCTGGCTCTGCCTCCCAAGTGCTGGGATTAAAGGCGTGCGCCACCACCGCCCGGCTTTAAAACAATTACTTTAAGTAGTAAAATTGTCAGTTTTCAGTTCTGTCCTGTATTGGCAAAGATACTAGTGACTGATGATGTTATATATCATTTGCTTTATTTTCTCTGTGTGTTTTATGCCAACCAGCATAATTTGTGGTATTGATTTGTACATCTCCATAATACTGTTTCAGTCACCAAATTTTTTTATTTAGTAATTTTCCTGATCATTGCTAACTTCACTAAGAACTGAAACACTAACGTGTAAATATGTGATGAACCTTCCACATGTGATCCTTACTAAATTACCATGAGGAACCCCTTGTTTTCTTATTTTTACTATTATTAGGGGGTAATTATTTAGTTGTGTTTGGTAGTTTAGTAACAATATTGATTATGTGTGACTGTATATCTGAAATGTAACTTGAAAATGTGGAGAGACAAATATCTGCTTTTAAGTTTTAAAAATTCGTATGTTTGTTTTTTTGCTCTAGAGTTGTTTTAGTGTTACTTATCCAAAGTTACTCTCTGGTGCGCTTCTGTTTCCCTGAGTTAATTGTACTTCTTCTTCTTTTTAAGGTAAAGTGCAAGTGAAGAGTTCAGACATACAAGTTGGAGACCTCATCATAGTGGAAAAGGTTGAAACATTTTTAATATGTTTTAGATCTGTATGTACATCAGTCATTCACATTAGTTTAATTACAAGTGACTTCTGTTTCAAAGGAACTGTTAAGATAGATATTTTAATCTTAATGTGTGTTTGTAAGATTTGATGTATTTAACTAAATTTAAATATTTAGATTTTCTGTGTATTTTGCTAAAGTGTATTTCAATGTCTTTAGGTTAAGCCTTTTTTTTAAATATAAGACCTGTGTTAATTGCTTACTGTATTTCATTTGACTTTAGAATTGTGTTCAGAACATTAATAATTCTACATCACTTTTTAGAATTTACTTGTCCAGATGGCTATATTATATATAAATTATTGGCTCTAATTCTTATGGTTAAAGAGTGAAAGTGAATGAAAGCGAAAGAGCACTAGAAAAATAGTTGAGGCCATGATAAGAAGAAGCCATGTTCTAAAAAACAGAACAGACCAGCGTGGGGAGTGAATGGATGGGCAGTGTGCAGATCAAGCATAGGGAATGAATGGATGGGCAGTGTGCAGATCAGGCATGGGGAGTGAATGGATGGGCAGTGTGCAGATCAAGCATAGGGAATGAATGGATGGGCAGTGTGCAGATCAGGCATGGGGAGTGAATGGATGGGCAGTGTGCAGATCAGGCATGGGGAGTGAATGGATGGGATGGGCAGTGTGCAGATCAAGCATAGGGAGTGAATGGATGGGCAGTGTGCAGATCAAGCATAGGGAGTGAATGGATGGGCAGTGTGCAGATCAGGCATGGGGAGTGAATGGATGGGCAGTGTGCAGATCAGGGCTTTCTCCTGTGACATGTAAGGGACTGTACACTGTGTGTGTCTCTCTGTAAGAGGTTCTTCCTAGTGTGCTATCTGTCTCATTCTGTGATGTGTGAGTGCTGTGTACACTACCCAGGCATATGATGTCAGTGCTGTGGTTGTATCTTCCCTGGAAATATCCTTCTTTTGCCATTTATATTCTTGGGAAATTCCTTGTTGACTTTGAAAAGTCTCTAGGGCAGATTCCCATTTGGCTTCTTCCAGAGCTGTCTGCAGTCCGTTGTGTTGGCTGGCATCTCAGCTGCCTGAGGCTGACGGTGTCTTCTTCCCATAGAAATGATCTTCTTGTCACTCGAGTCTGTGCACAGGCATTGTGGTTTGATTTTACAAAGTGGAACAATGCTTAGCACGCACAGGGTACTAAAACAAAACATCTGTAGTGTTTCATTGCATAAATGTTAGAAATTACTTGTATCCATTAAGTTTTTGGAAAAATTCTACTTTATTATGATCCTTATATCTTTGCACACTCGTGTAGGATGGATTTTGTTAAGTGTGTCCTTCCCATCATAGGCTAGATGTCTGCTGTGTTGATTATTACACAGTTTCACCTTTGCTTTACTTTTTTGGTGCTGGGTAGTGAACCCAGGACCTCCCCTAAGAATGTATTCTACCACTGGACCTGTAGGTGTAATTTAAATATTACATTTAAATTTAGAAGGGGAGGAAGCTGTAACAAGTAAGGGAAATAGCTAAAAATTGTAGTGACTGTACAAAGTGTAGACCTTGTAGGGAATTTTAAGCTATTGTGAATAGAGTTGATATTTTTGAAGTCAGATTAGATTAATTACAATGTTTTTTATGCCACACTTGGAATATGGAAGCCTTTTGTTAAATATTATATTTGGGACTTGGAATGTGACACTTGTGTACAAGGCTTTGCTTAGGTTGACTTCTAGTACTGAATACAAACAACAGGAAAAAAAAACCAGTTTTAAGGCTTGGTCCATATAAGAATTTAAGTAAGGAGTAAAGTGAATTCACTTTACTGTTTAATTCTTATAATAATGGCCTAAGAGTACATTTGCAATACTGAGTGTTTGAGTGCTGCTACTAATCATGAAATCTGCTTCTTTATGTGTAAGCTTTGAGGATTAAGTAATTAGCTTGGTGCTGGGGTCCTTGTGCATGCTGGGCAGCACTCTGCCACCGCGTTCTTAGACGTCACCTGTGTCTGATGTTGTCTGGTGTTGTGTGCTGCTTTGATGATGGTGCTGAACAGCACAGTCATCCTTCAGACAGTTCCCCTCAGTGCATCAGCTTAGCTGCCTGACATGTTTGCAGTGTATATGTCTTGGGTGGAAAACTTCAAGTTGTAACATTTCTGAGTTAGGCCCCAATATTAAAGGGTGACTTTGTAAAGAAACTGTTTGTAGGAGTTTACTGGTTTTCCTCTTTTTAGCTGCCCCCCAAGCATCCTTTGTTTAAAAAGTAAGCTTTATATGATAGCAATTGTATAAATACATGTGTAGAATAATGCAGTGCTTTGTATTATTTTAGAGCTTCATATAAATAAGATAGACTCAAATATTTGTTTAAGCAAAAAAATCCACTTACCTAGAGTCAAAGATATCTTTATGCCTGTATTTAAATGAAAAAAAAAAAGGCCATAGTTTTCTGATGTCTTTACACATATCAAATTAGTCACCTGTATAGTGCTAGAGGCCTTCAGAAGTCATTTGCATGCATGTGACATACATGTTGAGTCAGTCCCTGAAGTGCTGGGCAGGCATTAGGAAGGAGCCTTGAAACAGACTCAGAGCAGGCAGGACTTAGAGCGCCCCTGTTGTCAGTGCTCCTTCGGGCAGGAGACTAGCTTAGGGAAGAAGACTGATTGCTTTCTCCAGAAGCAAGGAGAAAACCTATTTTCTTTCTCTTCTTTTCTAATTTGTTCAATTTAATGAGTTAATATATTGTGTGTCATAATGCCCAGAGCAGAAGTGCATGTGACAGAAAAGGATCTGAACAGAAGTGTTCTGGGGTGCTCTTAAGGAAGCAAAGGTGGATTCCAGAGCAGGACTCTGATGACCCCTTTGAAGGGAGAAATGAGAAACAGAGGGCACTAGTGAATCAATGATGAAATGCCCACCACTTTCACTGTAAACTCTAAATACCCCAGCCAAGACACAGGCAGAGTGGATAGGAGGAAATGTGCTCAAATATTATGTCATTGACAAGAAAGGTACCTCCGCTTCAAATATGTAGAACAATATACCATATAAAGTTAATTAAGCCAGGTGTGTGCAGTAGGGGGCTGCTTCTTTGGTGCCAAAGAAAATGTCCAGTAGAATAATGAAAGTAAAACAAAACAAAAAAGATGAAGAAGTTGCATTAGTAATTTAGAACACTTGAAAAGGAAATATCCAGGTATAGATTCAATCCTCGGGCCTTTAATGAGGATTTGACATGAGTTTTTATAGTAATTGTCGGAAAATAGGTAGGCTGGAGTACTTGCCCTCATTTTATAAGGCAGGATTATCATTGTACCAACACCAGAGGGAGGACAGTCATTACAGAAGAAAACTAGACAGGAAAAGCTGTCAATAGTAAGTAAAGTTCTAAGTCACATCCCAGTAAAAATGATCACTATAAGGATTTAAGTTTCACTCTAGAATGATCTACCATATCAGTTGACTAGAGAAAAATCACACAATTATATTAGTGGGTGCCAGAAAAGCACTGACTAGGTTAATGCCTACTCTTGATAATTGTAAGCCTGTAGGTTGGTGACAAGGAGCCCCATCTAGTTAAGAGTACCCAGAGACCCCTGTAGAACATCATGTGTAACAGAGCTAGATGGATGCCTCTTCTCTGAACTTGGAAACAAGAATGTTGTTTTTACCATGCTTAACTTATCTAACAGCTCTAGTTTCTTAAACAGAACAAAGAGAAAGTTGTATAGATTGGGAAAGGAGGCAGTAAATGTCCTTAATCGCAGATGGAATGCTAGGGAATATAGGAAATTCAAAAAGATCTATTAAACAGTATATTCAGCAGAGTGACAAGCTATAAGACCAGCACGCAAAAAATACATCCCCATTTCTGTAAAATAACAGACCATATGGAAACAAATGAAAAATGTCCCTCCTATGAAATTCAAGTATTAAGTATGCTGAAATCTACAATATATTAATGAAAATAATCAAAGAAGACCTAAGGAAATAGTTGTGTTCTTGGGGGATGACATTTCATCTACCTTTGATATTTAAAAACAATGACCAGGTGTTCTCAAAGTCACAGGAAGAGTCCTTCCTTTCCCTCCCTCTTCACTTCTTCCTCCCTCCTTCCCCTCTTCCTGCCTTGCCCTTTCTTCTCTTCTCTCTTCCCCCTCCCCATCTCTTTCTTCTCTCATTAATTAAAAAAATGACACAGATAATCGTACTCCAAAACCAATTTAGAAAGGCACAGGTTCGGCCACAAGGAAAACACAGGGGAAGGCCCTCGGTCCCTGTGTCGAGGCCCACTACACAGCTCCATTAATCAGCAGAGTGCACGTAGGAAGATGGAAACAAACGCTGATGAGACCTCAAGGAGAACTCAGAAATAGGTCCACCCAGATATGCACAAGTAACTCTTCAAAGAGGTACAAAAGCAATGAAAAATAAAAAGGAAACTTTCAGAAGATTAAATTAAAGCATCTATAGGTTAAATAGAAGATTCAGGACTTAGTGGAAAATGAAAAACTTCCAGGATAAAAGCACAGGAGAAAATACCCTGAATCTAGATATTTAAAATATTAATATTTTATAAATATAGACCTTTAAAATAAAAATATAATTCATAGACTATATATCAAAAGAATATCACACACTAAAAAAATCTGATAATTGCATCTTGTTAAAATTAAAATTTTTTTTGGAAAGAACCATGATGAAACGATAGGTGCTGATAATAATTAAAGAAGATGTCATGCATTTGAGAGGGATTGGAGAAGAGGAAGGGAGAGGAGGATAGAAATGGAAATGATATAAATATGCTACTCACGTATGAAATTCTCAATAAAAGTTAAAATGAAGAAAGTGGACGCGGCCGCCAGAATGGCTCAGCAGGTAAGGTGATTGTTGGCAAGCTTGTGTACCTGATTTTGATCTCTGGGACTACATGGTGGAAGAAGACAGCCTACTATAGCAAATTGTCCTCTGATTTCTATAAAATGTTAGTAAAAACATTTTAAAAAGTATAAAAAGAAGCTATTGAGTCTGTATTGGGTGAAAACATTTGGGCACTATATCTAATAAAGAATTGTTGGTGAAATTTGTAAAATCTCCTAAGTCTGAGCAGTAAAAGATTTTCACCTTAGGAAATGGACAGAAAACCTAAGAAAACATTTAACAAGGAACTATAGATGAAAAATAAACATATGAAAAAATTCCTTATCAGTAGTTATCAAAAATACACATAAGTCAGAATGCATAATTTTTAAAAATGATGTCACCAAACATTGACATTGGTAAGAAGGATATGGTTTACTTAACATATCTGTTGAGAAGACCAGATGGTATAATTATTCTGGAAAATCACATGACAGTTTCTAAAGCAAAAAAATAAAACAAAAAACAGTCAAAAACCTGGTATAACTGTCTCATGCTTCCAAGTTTAAATTCCTGTGCCTTGGGCCTAGTAAGATGCCTCAGCAGATGCTTGATAACCTGAGTTTGATCCCTGGGACCTACATGGTGGAGCTCTGACCTCCATGGGTGCTATAGCTCACGGATGCACACTCACAAATGTACACATATATAATAAATACAATTCCTGTATCTTTGCCACAAAGAAATATTAATTTATGTTGATACAAAATCCTCTACAGGAATGTTTATTCAAGATAGCCAGAATCAGAAGCAGATCAGATATCCTGTATAGATGTCTGGTCAGAGATCCTATGTATAAGCACATCATGGCACAGCATGGGAAGAAAATACAAGACTTTGCTTTGGGAAGTGAATAATTTGAAAATTCCATTCACATTAGCATCCAAAGGATAAAAGACTTAAAATAGATCTAACAGAAGAATGCTGAACTTTGAACTTGGAAAGTTCTAAATGTGATTGAAAAGATGTTAAAAGAAAATACTAAGTAAGTGGAAAACAGCCCACCCAGGTAGGTATGTTACTGTTGTGAAGTTGGCAGTACTTCTGAAATGGACCTGTAGATCCATGCTACACCACCTTAAAAACCTCAGCTGACTTCTTGATAGAAGTTGACATACTGGTGTCTATAATTTGCATAGAAATTCAGAGGACTTAGAATAGCTGAAATAATTTTGGGGGAAATTTTTGCACATTTTTGCATACTCAACACTTCTCCATTTCAGAACATAATACAAAGCTACAGTAGTCAATACATTGTAGACCTAGTATAAGTGCAGGGATGATGCATCTGTATCTATCTATCTATCTATCTATCTATCTATCTATCTATCTATCTATCTATCTTCTAGTCTCTCCCCCTCCTTCCCTCCCCCTCCCTCCCTCCCCCCTCCCTCTCCCCTTCCCCTCCCTCCCCTAGAATTTATGGTTTGTTGGTCCCTGGTAGGTTCCTTGGACAGGCGGCTTTCATGCATCCTGCCATTGATGGTTATTTAGTCACTTACACTCTGTGTCATTTGACATCCAGTGTGCATACCTGCTACTCCATATATACCTGGGTTTTAAGCTTGGATATGTTTCCCCATGGTTGATCATACAAATGGCTGTGTAAAGTGCTGTGTCTGTCCAGTGTACTCTAATTAGGCAGTGTTTTTATGTGTGCCAACCTTGGCATTCTTAGCATTTTCAGTGTGCCTTTTGGTATGTGTGCTAGAAGTGTAGTTTTAGTATGAGTTTCTCTGATGTCTATTAAGTTGGTCGCTTCTGTTATTACTTCTGTATCTTTCCGTACTGTTTGGGTAAGAGCGTGGAAAATCTCTTGTGTTTTCTTGTTCTATGTGGGCCTTTCTCTGCTTGCAAGTCCCCAGGCCTTTGGTCTGTTCTGTGGTCAGAGCCTCCTGATACATATGCTGCGAGCATCCTTTATCTTCTTTCCTGGTGGCCATATTTGAATAGAATTTTTACTTTTAGGGAAGTCCAACTTAGTAATCTTTTCATTTAAAGTTAAATGTTTTCTTTTCAAAATAATTCAGTAGTAGTGGTGTGGGTGAAGAAGCCTTCCCCATAAAAGTCATGAAGTCATCTGCTGATGTTTGACCTGCATCAACTTTTAGAGGTTCTATTGTCTTGCCATGAACATTTTAACTGTGGTTTGAATCAGTTTCTGTGTTAAATTACTGGGAAGGCCAGGCATCATCTCCACTCATCCCCTGTAGGCATCTGCTTTCCTTAGGACTATTTCTTGGTAAGACTGTAATTTTCTTATTGCGCACAGTGCTAGTTTTCTCCTGAGCCTGGTGTCCTCATATGAGTGGGTCTAGTTCTGCCTTTTCTTGTTTTGCATTGGCATAATTGGCCATCTTGCTTTAACACCATTCTGCCTTAATCACTATGGTTTAATATTCTTTTCCCAGGTTAGTCCTCGAGTGTGTCTTGTTCAATTCTTGGCCTTAGCATATGAGGAAAATCTTATTGACTCCTAAAGCTCGTAAACGTAATTTATTTTAGCTTTCCTTGTGTTCTGTTCTGTTGAGTTCCAGTGTGTTCATGTCTTACATGTTTTCCTCCCAGTGCTTTCCTGGCTTTGGATGTTCCACTCATTTTCTTGTCAGATGATTATTACCTTTCATTTAGAAAATACTCTTGGATGTTCACTCAGATGTCTTCCTTGACCTGAGGGTCTGTTAGCGCCTATATAGCCACCTCCAATCGTAGTGTTAGAAAGGAACAGCTGTACTTCACAACCTGTCTTTTCACCCTTACTAACTTGTTCATTTTTATTCATGAACTGGAGAGGTAAGCCATTTCCTTGTGGTATATGTATAGATTTTCACTTAGTTCTCAAAAGACATAATTTGTGTAATTATGTGAATTATTATTTTAATGGTATACTTTTTCCTTAGTATTTTTACTTCTTTTAACATTTCCAATTGATAGAATTATTAATAATAGTAATAATTAAGTGCATGAATAGTGACCTGTAAAATTTTGAATATACCATTGCATCTTTAGTTACTTCCTATTCTGTCTAATAAGAGAATAAATAGCTCCTAAGATTTGTGGGACTTTTCTGTATTTGCTTATTCTCCAGATTGTTTGTTTACCCATGTTTATTATTTTCCTGATGATGTGGTGTTGGCCCTGGAACAACCACTGTCTAATTTCCAGGGCATTTTGGAATGAGGAGAAGGCAGTTCTTAGGTGACAAGACTACTGTGATGCATTATGTTTTGTTAAGATGCTGTGGAAATAATATTTAACTTTTTCAACATAGGAAAGTTCTGAATGCCATGTATATGGCTTGCTGTTGTTTAAAAAAATCTAAATGTTAATTTTTATATGAAAATTATAAATAATAGCTATTTTAGTACAATATTGCTTTTTAAAATTTTAATTGTCTATATTAACTTTTCTTCTTTGTAATAGTATTATGTTAATGTACATCTTCAGATAATAATTAATACATTACTTTTTTGCAGAACCAAAGAATTCCATCAGATATGGTCTTTCTTAGAACTTCAGAGAAAGCAGGTAACTTTTAATGTTTTCTTTTACATTGCTGCAGGTTTTTATTAGTTTGTTTGTTTTTTTGGACAAGTTGATATTGTTTAGCTGTGTCTGACCTGGAGACCAGGCTGGCCTTGAACTCACAGAATTCTGCTTGCCTCTGCCTTCCAAGTATTAAGATTAAAGGCATATACCACCATGCTTAGCTTGATTTCTTTGTTTTAAAAAGTAAAATCGTTTTCTGCCTATAAAATTTATTTTTTAATATTCTAAATTCATTCCAAATGACATTTAATTGTTGATATTTAAAAAAATCTGACTTTAGTGTTTAATAATTGCTTGAAAAGTTATCTGAGTAGATTTTCATTCATATAGGCTTTGAAAACCCAATTACTTAAATAATAGTGTAACTCAAAAATTATATTGCTATTTTATATTTTCAGTTTTACTTATTTCACATAGTTATTTTCTACTTGTTATGTGCACAGTAGTAATTATTGTGTTCACTACTGAAAAGAACAGCATCTTGTTGTGGATTCCTGCACTGTAGTTATGGGTACTTGCCATGACTAGTTCATGGTCTCTATGTGTGGTAACACACCTAGGCACTCTCTCATAGTGAAAAGAACTATGTGTATGGGCATAGACATTTGGGGCCTAGGTGAGTTGCCATGGGCTTTGTGGGAAGAACAATATTTAGGACCTGATCTTTCAACTGGACACTCATGTGACTAAGAGAAGTCAGGGCATCGCTGCCAGTGTCTCCTCGGCCAGTTGCTCACTACTGCCCTGGCTGTGTGGGCACACTTTCCTTATCTCTAGACTGGGGCAGCATATTAAGGAATGCCATAGCTCCTTTCTGCCCTCTGCATATGGTTTGTAAAACAGGCTGTCATTTTTTTCTTTTCTAGGTTCAGCATGATTGTTATTTGTAAGTGTGAATACCCTTCAGAGGCCTGGGTTGGGTTCAGAGTTCATTACTTATTTCCTCTATGAGAAACAACATATTTTAAAAATCAGACTTTAATTGTGTGGGTTTGTGCATGTGAGTGGCCAGAGGAGGGTGTCAGTTCCTTTGAAGCTGGAATTAAAGGCTGGTGTGAGCCATCCCATATGGGTGCCAGGACTGGCACTTAGATCCTCTCCAAGAGCAAGGTGGCTCTTAAGTCTTGAGCCATCTGTTCAGCCCTGATAGCACACTTTAAAAGAAACACTGAATCATGATAAAGAGGCATTCGTCTGCAGCACCGCCCCGTGCTGTATTTGCTCACCTTGCTGGACGAGCTGCCATCAGGAAAAGAGCTATCCATGGTAGTCAGAGGACCTGTGAGCTGATACTTGTTTTGTGTTGTTTAGTGTGAGCTTTTATTTTCCCAACTTCTGTACAGGCTGGCTTGGTGTTCCTCATATAGTTAAGCACCAAAATTACAAGTTTGTCCTTTATTGTCACTAGAGACTCCTTAATTGTTGTCTAACCCCACTCACCTACTATTAGAAGTTGTATTATAAGAGAACTTTTCTTCTTAGAATGTTTATGTCTTCGTTGAGAGTACTGCTTGGCTATATTAGAATAATGTACTCATTTCCAAAGCATTTCTGTCTAACAAGTACGTGGTATGGCCTTCTGTTACAGCAGTCTATCAGTAAGCTTCCTTTGTGTCTTGGCACCTCTGGAGTAGCAGTGTTTCACAGTCCAGACTGCCCAGTGCTGTGGGAGTCCATGAGGCCTCCTTCTCCTTGAGAGGCTGAGCTCCTTAGCTGTCGGCATGTGCAAGAGCATAGACCTCTTGCTTATGGTGTATAGCTCCTTTGTCTGGCTAGATTTGAATTCTAGTGTTTTCATAATGATTTTTGCCTCTTTAGTCAGAAAAGGATGTATTTGGAATTATGGAGTGTGTTTGTGCTTTTTTGTGATACCTTTATTTTGATATCAGAGTAGTATTGGCCTTAGTGTCCATTAGGGATTATTCTGTCTCATCCTACTTTTTGGAAGAATCTTTAAAGAAATTTTATTCTTTAAATGTTTGTTTCAATTCATCCATGAAGTGATGTGGGTCTGGCCTTTGAGAGTCTTTGTCTTGTTTTTTAATTTCTAATTACTTGCTAAAGGCCTACTCACATTGTCCTTTTCTTCTTGAGTCAGTTTTTGTAGTTTGTGTCCTTTTTTTTTCAATTAGTCTACTTTAGGGTTTTTAATTCGTGGGCATGCTACAATTATTCCCTCATGATCTTTTAAAAACAGTTTCTGTAACGTGGTAGTGATGTCCCCTCCTTTGTTCTTGGTTTATTATTTGAGTCTTCCTTTTGCTTTGTTACTCTGGCTAAAAGGTTGTCAATGTTATTGATTTGTTGAAAGAACTAATTTTGGGTTTCAATTATTTTTTTTTCAGTTGTTTGCCTGTTCTTTATTTCATTTATTGGCACCTACCATTTTCTTCCTTTTCTCTGTTTTTGGTTCAGGTTGATCCTGTGTCTGTAGTTTCTTAAAGTAGAAAGTTAGATTGTTGATTTTTGTATCTTTTTTAACATGGGTGCTTACAATTATGAATGTCCATCTGCACTTTTTTTCAGTGTCCTCATAAAGTTTACTATGTTGTTTTATTTCCATACCTCTAAAGTAGTCTCTAATCCCTTGTCTTTCATCATTGATCCATTGTTTTGTGATTAATGTGTTGTTTTATTTCCATACTTGTAAATTTCCCAGATTTGCTTCTGCTGTGATTTTTAGGTCATTCTGCTGTGGTCTCTTTCTGACTCATTCAAATCTGGCTCTAGCATGTGTGTATCTGTGAGTGTGCTCCATACGCTGTGCACACCAAGGAGTCTGTTCTCCTGCAGTGTGTTTTTAGCCCTAGTCAGTCTCCAGCATTGGCATTCTAATTGTCATGTCCATGGTTGAAGGTGAAGTGGTATAGTTTGCACCCGTTTTTGCAAGATTGATAGCATGAGTATACCCTCTATGATGACTGTCACTGTAGGGATAACGCCTGCGCTACCACCACCCGTTCACCATGTCCGAGAGGGGGCTGTGGATTAAAAAATAAGGGACAAGAGACAGCGGGTCATTCGCCTCAGCAGAATGCCAAATGCTGTTTATTGAAAGAGGGAGGAAACCTTAAATACAGGCTTACAGCACAATGGGAGAACCCCAGAGGGCAGAAGTTCGCTATTGATGTTTACATTCTTGCATCTAAGCTGTTAACGCCCAATATGCAGGATACACAAACAAGGAACTTCCCTTAAGTGTTCAGGAGGGTGGATACCGGCAAGGAATTAGCATAGGGAGGACATCTGGTCAAGGTCAGCAAGCAGGCAATGGCTTTACTCAAAATGGGAGGAGACCAGGGCCCTACATGTCACCCTCCCCACATGCCCTTCTTCCTGCTGTCCATTCTGTGTCCATAGCTGCTTGGTTCTTCTCACTCACTCAGGTTCTTCTGCATTTACTCTCCTGCTGCAGCGCTGTGCAGAGGAGACACACAGCTGCTGTTCTGTGACCCACTCCTCTGCTGGCCTCATTCTCACCTCAAGAGCAGCTTTATCAGGTGCTTTCTATGGTTCTGCTTTCATCACCCGTCTGTCATTCTCTGCCAGACCCCACCCTGAAACATCACCAAGTGCACAGAAGCCCTCATGCAGGCAGTTCCATCTGTGCCTTCCCTCTTGTAAAACCTGGACTTTTCTTTAGCTTGGCACCTGACCACTGAGAGGAGCTCTGTCACAACTACTCCAGTGGTTTCTTTGCATTCTCCAGATGCGCTGCTCTCTTGCTGGAGGCATTCTTATGTGCCTCCAGTCCTACTCCTACCCCAGCTCTCCCCTGTGAACCCGTGTAATTAATTAGTCTCCTGTTTTTCTTGTGGGATGTCTTACCCTCTATTGCTGTGATAAAGCACCATGGCCACAGCAACTTTGAGAAGGAAGAATCTATGTGGTTTTACTGTTCTTGAGGGCTAATAGTCTGTCATGGTGGGAGGCATGGCCGCAAACAGAGAGCGTAGTGGCTGTAGAAGAAGCTGAGGGCTCTTACCTTGAACAGAAGCAGGAAGCAAAGTGTGTGTGTGGGGGGAGTGAAGTAAGAGGCTTTGACCTCTAGTGACATATGTCCACTAGCATGGCCACAGTTCCCAAACATCACTACCAGCTACAGACCAAGTGTTTAAATACATGAGCATATGGGGGATATTTTCATTCAACCTGCCATAGGCAATAGCAAGAAACTTGTCCTTACTGCCTCCTGCATGAATTTTTTTCTCAGAGTTCTGTTGCAAATGCACCTACTTATATGCTCAGTGTTATTTTCTTGAGGGGGTTGTGTTTTCATATTCCTTTAATAATCATTGTCCACTGGTTGTTACTTAGGCCTGATGGAAGAGCCATGACTGATAAAGAATATAATGAAATAGAATTTGGTTAGTCTCTGCTTTTTGTTTGGAGTCTTTAATTCATTTCTATATAGTATAATTATTGAAAAGGTAATATTTACATCTATCACTTGCAACTAGTTTTTCATTGTCAATATAGAGAAGTAGATTTTCAAAGAGTTTATCTGTACCCACATTCCCATTGATAATACCTGTTTTATTATGATCTCTGTCTGATAGCATATGCAGCATAATAGGTCACTGTGGTGATTTGAATGAAAATGATCCCCTAGGCTCATATGTTTGAATACTTGTTCTGCAGTTGGTAGAACTGTTTGGGAGGAACTAGGAGGCGTGGCCTTGTTGAAGGGGGTGTGTCACTGGGAGTGGGCTTTTGTACTTTTGTACTTTTACAAAGCCCACGGCACTCCTAGTAAGCCTCTCTCTCTCTCTGTTTCATGGTTGATACTCAACTTGTAAGTTCTTAGCTCCTTCTCCAGCACTATGCTTCCCTGCTTGCAGCCACATTCCCTGGTCATGGCTCACCCTCAAACTGTAAGCAAGCTTTCTAATTAAACCTTTCTTTTATAAGGTGCTTGGTCACTTAATTTGTTGTGGCAGTAGAAATGTAACTAAGACAGTAAACAAAATATTTGTGTT